ACCAATAAAGGGAGTCCAACTGGCTTGAACCAAATATGAAACCAAATCTACAGGATCATGCCGACCCGATATCATGCTGCGATGAAGAAACACTTACCGACATGTGCCAACATGACAGCCGACGCGTGTTAACCAACCGATGAAGAGTGTCCACGCGGAGCCCTTTCCTGAGGACAAGCGAGTTCGCAAACTGGGCGAGCTTACACGCTGCTGTTGGGATGCCCGAAATGACACGATGCCCCAGGACCAAATGTTGCCCCAAACCGACAGCGGCCACTGTTGGGCAGGCGGCCTGTTGTCTCAACTGGACAACGACCGCGGCGACGCCCGCAACGAATCCTGTTTAGAGTGATCAAGAAGTGCTGCTGAACTTTGTGCCCGTTGTCTCCGTACCCATTGAAATCGTCCCGATGCTTCTCGGTGATCTACTGACCCAGGTCCATCCAGACCTGTGCCAGTCAAGCCTTGGCAAGATCCTGCAGGATCATGGACCCAAGCCCAGGTCAGTGCAGCTTTGGCTCTGCAGGATCCCGCAGGATCCGGCGCTCTGACTGACCCCCGATTGCATTGACCCCTCTCTTGAGCCCCGAGTGCATCGGCGATGCATCGGCGACGTCGGCGATGCATCGGCGCTATCGGCGTGGGGAAAAGCAAGCTCCACCTCACCGATGCATCGTCGATTCGGCGCGATCCTCCGGCCCCATATCCGGACCTCATCTGGGAGGCCTGGAATTGGATTTTGTACCCGTCGTCTCCGTGCCCATTGAGATCGTCCCGATGCTTCCCTCGGGGGCGCGTGCCCAGGAGGCCGCGGGGATTATTCGGGGGCGAGCGAGGGGGGCAAATGAGAAGGAGAAGGCCTTCTCAGAAGGCGGCGAGACTTATCAGAAGCCCTCGCGCCTTCGGAGAATCTTCCTGTGTCTTCGGGGAAGGCTCAGAGAACATACCAGAAGGCTGGGGGACTTCCGAGCTTTCTGAGAAGGCCCGCCCCTTCTCACTTCCCCCCTCGCTCGCCGCCGACAGAGGAGGAGAAGGAGGAGGAGGAGGAGGAAGAGGAGGAGGAGGAGGAGGAGGAGGAGAAGGAGGAGGAGGAAGAGAATGAGGAATATGATGAAGCAGAGGAGGAGGATGAGGAATATGGAGGAGGAGGAGGAGGGAGGAGGAGGAGGAAGGAGGAGGAGAGGAGGAGGAGGAGGAGGAGGAGGAGCAGGAGGAGGAGGGGAGGAGGAGGAGGAGGAGGAGGACTGAGGCTCGCCGCCGAGTTGTGACGCCTTCACCCGTCGCCGGGGCTCCGGCCAGGAGCCGCCCCGCCCCCCCCCCCCCAGACAGCACTGCAGACGGAGCCGTCGCTCTCCCAAGGCTGCTCTTCGGGCCAACCAGCGGGGGAGGGGAGGAGGAGGGAGGAGGAGGAGGAGGAGGAGGAGGAGGAGAGGAGGAGGAGAGAAGGAGGAGGGAGGAGGAGGAGGGAGGAGGAGGAGGAGGAGGAGGAGGAGGAGGAGGAGGAGGAGGAGGAGGCTGCTCTTGGGGGCCACCTCCTCCTCTCCTCCTCCTCCCTCCTCCTCCTCTCCTCCTCCTCCTCCTCCTCCTCCTCCTCCTCCCAGCGGGGGCAAGAGGTGGGTGTCCATCCTCGACGGGCGTGCCTCCGAAAGTAGGCCCCTGGGGGTGTCCCAGGACTTCTCTCCTCTTCTTAGCCGCTTCATTTTTCGTCGAAGCGGCCAAGAGGGGGGTGTGGAGCGGCCAAGAAGGGGGTGTCCAAGAGGGGGGTTGCAAATCATGGCCGGCGGCATGTGCGCGGCCCAGCGGGAGGGGCCAGGGACGTATTGAAACAAGAAGAGGCGCCATGAAATCTGGGGAAATATCATGGCCCACGCCATGATGTCTACCCCCCCCCCTAGTCATCCCCCCCCTCCTTGCCGCCCCCGACAGCCAGCGGGGGCAAGGGCCCCCGCCCCAGAAAAACAAAAAACCCACATAAGCGCGGATTTCTTGGGTCTGCGCTGGACCTCCCCCCCTCCCCGGCGCGCGGAGCGCGCCAGGGCGGCGCCGCCTGGGGGGCCCAGCGCGGATCCAAGAAATCCGCGCAGAGCGCCAAAAGTTTATTTGAATGTCGTTTCTTGTTTATTGGTGCACGTGAGAGTGACCCCTAGGCAGGAGTAGCCTTTGGTTCGCGACTTTCGGGGGCCGCGGGGAAGACGAATCGGAGCGCGCAAGCCGCTGCTATCGCGTCGCTTTCGACCACCTGGGGACCCAGGTGTGCCCGCACCAAGAATCACTCTGGCGAACGGTCACTCTTGCGTATCGCCGAATAGTTCAAGAGCAAGAGACCCTCCGCTGGCCAAACTTGAAGGGGCCCAGGGACACACAAATAAATAGGCACAAATAACAGGATTCCGCATTTTTTTAAAACATTTTTTTTTTGTTTTTGTCTTCCCGAAATTCGCATATTTTCTTATCTTTTTCTGGGAGTCGACGATCAATTGTCTCTGTGTTTCTTTCCCTCCTGAAAACTGAAGAACATTTGAGGGTACCCTTCCCCCAGGATACACAAGAACATCCAAAACGGCGCTGGACAAGGAGCGAATCCCCTTCCGGGCCCCTAAAATCGCCCGCGTAGACGAGGAGCGCTTGCAGGGACAGGACTCCATTGTTGACTTGATCAAAGGCTTGGGCGAAGGCCGCAATCTTCCTCTCTAGTTGTAGCAGGCGCTCGTGTCTCGAATCGAAGACGCCTACGGCGAACCCCTAGAGAAGCGGCCATCGAGCCCCCTCCAGACCCAAGCTGCTTCTTATTTCGGCGTCTTGGCTGTACCGCCCACCGGCCCAGACACCTCCATCGGATACTAGCCGTACCAGATCTCGGTGCGATCCATCCATGGCGGCACGGAGCCCACTGGCGGCCGACGAAAGGACAACCGAACGGGTGCACAAACTTCCGGACCAAAACTATAGCCTCGAGAAGCTTGATCTCAACGTGCCAAGAAGGTGGTCGGCGAGGTGCAGCAGACAGAAAAGGCCTCGGGCCGTACCTCATACAGAATAATGTAATATGTCATGACGACCTCTGCATCCCAGAGGACAAACTCAGCATACGTACGACGATCGGGCAGGCTCGTGTCCACCAGTGGGCTCCCTTTCAGCATGCTGGCCCCCCCAGGCGTCCGCGGTGAGATGTGGGCGTGCTGCAAGAGTCAGTACGCTGGAGGCGGGCTCTCGACATCACACTTGGGGGGTGGGAGAGAACAAGACAGGGCAGAGCGGGCGGGGAGAAAGCAAAGCAGGGAACAGCGGGGGGCGGAGAGGGGGGGGGGGGCAGAGGACGAGTAGGACTGGAGAAACAGACAGGGGGAGAGGATGGGGAACCAGGGACACTTGAATCATCGCTGGGCTTGCTAAGGGGATCGGAGGGTTCTGAGTGGATACCGAGGTTGGTGACATCTGGCCTCATCTCTAGCTTCCAAGTGGGTTGCAAGTGCTCTGAGCGGCTTACGGGGGGCAAAGATCTGGGATAAGTGTGCGGAGCCCACTGACGAGAATTGCCTACTCCGTTTGAATCACATCGGGTACGTGTAACCCGTGTATCAACCAAATTAGGCCAAACATTACCCCGCATTCGCATCCGCTTGAATCCCCTCCTGTCATAGAGGCCTCCTAGAAAGGGTCCGACTAGGTGGGGTCGGAGGATCGTGCCGCATCGCCGATACACCGACGATGCATCGGCGATGCACCAGCGATGCATCGTCGACGTCGGCGATGCATCGGCGACGCCATCGTGAAGCAGATGGGGCTCCACATCGAGCCGCATCGGCGATGCATCGGCGATGCGGCGCGATCCTCCCGCCCCATCTACTAGAAGAAGAAGAAACAACGGAATGAACAGAAACTTTTGGCGCTCCGCGCGGATTTCTTGGATCTGCGCTGGATCCCCCTCCCTGGCGCGCGGAGCGCGCCAGGGGGTGGCGCCAGAGGCACCGCCAAGGGGGGCCCCAGCGCGGATCCAAGCAAAATCTGTGCGGAGCGCCAACAAGCTTATGCGTATGCCGTCTTTTCTTCTTCGATCTACTCCGACCCCATCTAGGAGGCCTATATGTCAGCGGGGATCCAAGCAGAGCAAGAAGAGCGCCCGACGAGGACGCCAAGGTTGAGCAGGGACCGACCGTCCCGGCATTCCCATAGTCATACCACGAAATGTTCTTAGAACCCCAAGATGTTCTAAGAACAAAACAATGTTCTTAGAACATAAACCCGATGTGTTAAAACAATATAGTCCCAGCCAGAAGTGTTCTAAGAACATTTCGTGGAAGCCACAAAAGGCTCTTAGAACATTGTTTGGTAGTGGTATAGGCGAGCCAGGACGCTTCGCCACTGCTTGACAAGGGTTAGGTCGAGCATGTCCTCCTGCAGGCGGTTTTTGGAACAACAAGTGCTGAAACATGGTTTCAAAAACGCAAGAGAAACCGCCCCCATACTATTTTCCGACTGCTTTGAAGACCCCTCCTGTAATGGGGCAGGCCCGACTTAAAGCAAGAAGAGGACCCGACGAGGACGCCAAGGGTTCGGTCCAGTATGTCCTCCTGCAGGCGGTTTTTGGAACAGCAAATGCTGAAACATGGTTTCGAACACGCACGAGAAATCGCCCCCCATCCTATTGTCCGACTGTTTTGCATACTTACCCCTCCGAGAAATCGCCCCCCATCCTATTCTCTGACCGCTCTTGCACATCCCTCCTGTGCTGGGGGGGCAGGCCCGACTCAAAGCAAGACGAGGGCCCGACGAGGACGCCGAGGGCCCGAGAGCGGCCTGCGGCGGCCGCCGTATGGACGACCGCGCCTCCTCCTGCTCCTCCTCCTCCTCCTCTTGCTCCTCCTCCTCGTCCTCCTCCTCCTCCTCCTCCTCCTGCTCCTCCCCCTCCTCCTCCTCCTGCTCCTGCTCCTCCTCCTCCTCCTCCTCCTCCTCCTCCTCCTCCTCCTCCTCCCCGAACCCCGCGGGGCCGCCGAGCGCGCCTCCCACCTGCAGCTCGCCGAGCGGGGCGCCGTCGGGCCACCCACCTGGCGGTGGGGGCGGCGCCGGCGGAGGGCTCGCGGCGGAGGGCCTCCGCGGGACTCCCTCCGGAGGCACCGCCCCGTCGCCGGCGCGACCAGGGAGGCAGGGGGAAGGAGGACGAGGGGGAGGAGGGAGAGGAGGGGGAGGAGGAGGAGGAGGAGGAGGAGGAGGAGGAGGAGGAGGAGGAGGAGGAGGAGGAGGAGGAGGAGGAGGAAGAGGAGGAGGAGGAGGAGGAGGAGGAGGAGGAGGAGGAGGAGGAGGAGGAGGCCCCGCCGGCTCCTCCCCGGCGCGCACGTGGAGGCCCCCCCCGGGGCCCCCTCGCCAGGTGGGAGCGGGTGCCGTCGGGCCGCCGCCCACCAGGGCGAGGGGCGGCGCCGGCGGAGGGCTCGCGGCGGAGGGGCCACGCGGCAGCGGGCTCATCGAAGGCACACACCTGGGGAGCGTTTTCTTCTTCGGCGTCTCGACACTGGGCGGAATGGGGGGGGGAAGTGGGGGGTCTCTAAGGGAACGGAGAAGGACATAAACATAACAACTCGGAGCTAGGGAGGGGGGTCCAGCGCGGATCTGAGAAATCCGTGCGGACCTCCGAGTTTTTATGTTTATGTCATTCTTCGGTCCCCTAGGGGGGGATCTGGCTCTGGACCTCTGCGTAGTGCGACTGTTTGCAGCAGTGCGTCCCATGGGGGAGGCTCTACCAGCTTGAAGCAGGCGCCAAAAGCAGCCAAGATCTACTCCATGGGGGGGGAGGGGGGGCGGTGCGAGGGCCCGCGCCGATCGGCAAAACAATGGATGATATAACTTCTGAGGGCAGGGTTTCTGGCCTTCCACAGTCGTTGCTGCGGGCAGACGTTTTTCTGGAGGCATTTTCTCTGCCTTCGCGCTGAAGACAACAGATGTGCATTCGAACATGTCTGCCTTTGGTGGGCCATTTTTGCCTTCCGTGGGATCATGGCCTTCAGTGAGCAACACATTTGGCTTTCATGTTTCCCTTCAGTGAAACAACTTGGCCTCCAATGGAAGAATTTTGCCTTCAGCGGCCTGAAGGCCCCCTGGGGGGCTTAGGAGATAATCCCAAACCTCCGACGATATGTTTTTTCAATCCAGGTGTTTTGCTCGATTTCGTCCTCTGGGGACAATTGTCCATTACATTGGGCCCTGGGGCCATCAGGAATGGGTCCGGTGCGAAAACTGGCCCCAGACAAGGGGTCGTGATCTCTGGGGCCGCGCACGGACAAAAATCAGATCGCCATCTTCGGAGATCTCGGGATCGAGAACATCATACTATCAGAGATCCGGGTCTATTCTTCGTCGCTTGAGGAGATAGCAGTGGGTGCATACGATAGGATATCTTGCCATACAACATCTAGGTTCATACCTATACATGTGCACGTATACCTATACATATACATGTATATACATCTATACATGCATATGTATAGGTACACGTATGCATAAAGGTGTGTATACATATATACGTATATGCATATATGTTGTAAGCACACTTCCCACAGAAAGATAACACCTGTCGATCAATCTGCTGCCCCTGAAAAGGGCTATCCCAATCACGCGACTCATGGGCAAGGGCAAGCGAGCACGACGAGACGCGCACGCTGCAAGTCGAAGAAAGATTCGCCTCGCGGTCCGATATTGGCAATCGCAGCGCAGCGAGACACGCAATCTGTCCGGCTGGTTAGTTGCCAGGTGCACCTGCTGCAGGAGAGCTGCGCGCACGGCCGGCCTCCGAGAGGGGGCCAGCCAGCGGCCTCTGCGTTGTGGAGCCCGGGCCCAGAGACAAAAGTAGTAGGAGGAGGGGAGGAGGAGGAGGAGGAGGAGGAGGAGGAGGAGGAGGAGGAGGAGGAGGAGGAGGAGGAGGAGGAGGAGGAGGAGGGAGGAAGTGCAAGCTCAAGACTCAGCAGCGTTGTTGAGATACATGAGTTAACCTGACTGTTACGTCTTGGCGATCCTGAGTCGTGCCAGAACACCAGTCTTGGGGCTCCATCACTGCGAATCAACTGTTGCGCCCTGGCAATCCTGAGTCGTCCCAAAATAACATTTCTGGTAGGTTAACTATGAGAACCAATAGAACTCATGCAAATGTTTACAACGAATGTGCGCGGCGCTAAAGCGAGAATCACGTTTTGAAAAGGAACCGCCCTCAATCCGTGAAGCAGTTGCGGGTTTTTGAAACTCATGTGCGCGGCGCTGAAGCGAGAACCACATTTTGAAAACCAGCCGCCCTCAACCTGTAAAGCTCTTGCAAATCTTAAAAACGAATGTGCGCGGCGCTAAAAGGATATTCGCATTTCCCCCCCGCCCTCTATCCGTGAAGCCCTTGCAAATTGTTACAACGAATGTGCTCGGTGCTAAAGCGAGAACCTCATTTTGAAAACCACCCGCTTTCAATCCGTGAAGCTCTTGCGAATCCTTAGAACGAATGTGCGCGTCGCTGTGACGAGAACCACATTTTGAAAACCACGCGCCCCCTCAATCCGTGAAGCTCTCGCGAACTCTTAAAACGAATGTGCGCGGCGCTAAGGCGAGAACCACATTTTGAAACCGATCCGCCCTCAGTCCGTGAAGCCCCTGCACATGCGGATATCGTAAAGCTTCGTGACACGCTTTTCGAACAAACTTGACCATGTACTCGTGGTCTCGTGATCCTGCGGGGCGCGGTGCCGTGCCATGCTGTGCTGTGCCGTTGGAGGGCGCTACCTCGTCATCATCACGTGGCAAGGGCGTTCCCACGCCGAACCGACGCTCGTTATGCGGAGCGGCAGCTTCGCCCCTGCAGCCGGCCCGCGCCAAGGAACACCTATACCTGCATCGGCACGGCCGCTGTGGCAGTGCCTGCCTGGCGCGGCAGCAGCAGCACCAAAGGCAGATGACGCAGCCGCCGATGCCTAAGCACGCCATGACAACAGGGGCAACCCCCAGCGCATACAGGAGTGGGGTGCGCTCGCACTCGCAGCAAGCGTCTGCGCACTCGTTCTGGGGAAGCAGGCCAGGGGGCAACATGGCGCAACTGTATTTCAAGCGGGGCAGCATTCCTCCGCGGTCGCCAATACTGTTCTATTCATTGCGTTACTGCTCAACCCGCTCTGCTGCACTAGTCAAGGAAGCTCAGCTTTCGTCTTCCCCCAACTCAAGTTGTGAGATCGCTCCTGGTGAGCAGAACTCCGCGATGCAAGCCTAGGCGGATGAAAAACACAGACGTTATAGTACTCTGCAACCAGTGAATCCTCGATTTGTTCCGAGCGTGTTCCGCTGGCGAGCGGAGGCGGGCCACAACATTCCGTGACGCAACGGGCTTGCTCTCGGACCAACGCTGCTTGAACCAACACGCACTCGCAATCACGGAAAGGATGCTGCCGTGGCGTGCCGCTGTGCGGCGGTGCCGCCTATTCGGGCGGCTAGAAGGCGCCGCCTCCTAGGGCGTGGCGCCGCGCGTTGCCGTGCAGTGCCTCTGAAGGCCCAACGCGGGATCTTGCAACGCGGGCTGTCGTGCCGTGCTATGCTGTACCGTACAATTCCGTGCCGCGAGCCGTGGCAGCGGCCGTGCCATGCCTTGCCCTGTCGTGCCGTCGCACATTCGCTTCAACTTTCACCCCGCGGAGAGGCCCTGAACAAAAGAAGCACAAGCGGCACGGCATGCCACTGCATGGCGCAACACCGCGGCACGTTCACGGCACCCCTGGCCCGCCAGTTCACGAGTTTGTCCCGCTTTAGCATCCACCACCTTCCAAACGATGAAGTTACCAGTTTCTCCCCGCAAAGGTTGCCTTGAGTGTCTTGACGGGGTGAGCAGCTGTGGACTCTTTTGTGTGCGTGGCAAACCGAGCGCGGCTCTGCTCCACGATGGGCACCGCAATCGAATCGTGTACACAAGAGTCTGATAACAGCCACCGTGCTGCTGGGCACGAAGTAGAGAGCCCTGCAATCGTCTAGGGTCCCCAGTTACGGAGATCATAATGCTTACGCACAACGGGGCCCAGGACCCCAAGTCTTGAATCCCACCAGCCCTCTGGGCGCAGGTGATTCCACGAGTTTCGTCTTCTCTTTTCAAAGCCCCTTCATCCCCTGCTCGGGGGAGGGGTCCCTCCCCCATACCCCTCCCCTGGGCCTGGGAGGGGGGGGCGCGATGCGCCAGAGCGCCCAGGATGGCCCAATATACTCCACGAGGGCCTCAGTGAGCCCAGGATGGCCCCCAAGATTGACCCAAATAGCTGACGATGGCTCAAGGTAGCCTCCCACATACATCGAAGACGCCCCAAGGCGGCCCCAAGATGGTTTCAAGCGCCTTCCGAGCCCTCCAAGGACTCCCCAAGAGGCCAAACTTGATCCAACACCTGAGGAAAATCAGTGATTTTTGCGTTCTCGCCGTTTCGCTTCTGATGGGCTTCCGATGCCCCACGATAGCACAAAGGCGGCCCAAGAGGGCCCCACGAGGGGCCCAAGAGGGTTCCAAGAGAGCCCCAAGAGCGCCCACACCCCAGGAGCGCCCCAGGAATGCCCCAAGAGGCAAATTTTGAGCTCCGAAGGGAGGGGGTGCTGAATTGAGGACCCCCCTCCTTTTGAGCTACGGGGACCAAGACTGCCCCAGGAGACCTCTCAGACCCGCCCAAAGGGCCCACCGAGGGCTCCACGATGGCCCCAGAGCCCCAAGAGGGCCCCAAGAGGACCTCAAGAGAGCCCCAATATGGCTCCAAGAAGCCCCCGATAACCTCTCACAACAACGCTTTAGCTCGCCTGGCAAACTGTTTCTGAATGGGCTGGTGCGCGAAGCGTAGATGATTTCTTGGGGTTCGCAGCGTGACTTTTGGATTTCCCTGAAGACTCTCGGGGCTTTCCGCGTGACTTTTCCTTTGGCCTGCGGGCTCCACGATGGGCCAAGAGGGTTCCCAAGATGGCCCAACTATCGTCCAAGAGGCGCCGATACGGCCCAAGAACTCTCCAAGACGCCCCAAGAACCGCCCTTGGAAACACGTTTTATGATTTATCCGTAAGTTGGTTGAAGGATTTTAGCGTTTTCGCCTGTTCGGGTCCCACAACTCCAAGGGTGCCCAAGAAGGCCCCCAAGACTGCCACCAAGATGGCTCCCAGCTCCACGACTGCCCAAGAGGCCCCAAATAGAGCCAAGACGGCCCTAAGAGGCCTTCAAGACGGCCCAAGGGGGTCCCAAGAAGAGGGGCCACGAAGTGGCATTTCAAGCTCTCCGCCCCAAGATGACCCCCGAGACTGCCAGCAGGCCCCCAAGATGCTCCCATGGTCCCAATAGTCCTCCAAGAAACCACCAGGAGGCTCCCAAACCCTTCAAGAGGCACCCGCGAGACATCCCAAGAGACACTCATATGCATCCACGCGGCATCGGGCCCACGACACAAGCACGATGGCGGGATGGGCTGAAGGCCGCTAGATCCGCCACCCCCGGTTGCTTGACCGAGGAGTTGTTGGCGTGCCGAGGAGGAGGAGGCGGAGGAGGAGGAGGAGGAGGAGGAGGAGGAGGGAGGAGGGAGGAGGAGGAGGAGGAGGAGGGAGGAGGAGGGAGGAGGGAGAAGGTGGAGGTGGTGGAGGAGGAAGAGGAGGAGGCGGAGGAGGAGGAGGAGGAGGAGGAGGAGGAGGAGGAATGATCACCGCTTGAACACTTCCGGAAGGCTCCCAGTGGGGTCCCAGCAGATCCCGCCAGCCAGCCAGAACATGTCTACCAATTGCTTTGCCGCCCAAGATGGTCCCAATATGCCTCCAGTGCAGCTGATATGGCCTCTAAAATGAGCGTGCCAATATGTCTCGAATAGGCCCCAAGCTGGACCAACATTGCTCCAAGATGGCCTCGAGGTGGCCCAGGAGGCCCTCAAGACGCCCAGAGAAGGCTCCAAGATGCCCTCCATGAGAGCTCGAAGAGGGTCCCCGGGCGGTTTTGTACGATTTTCGCGTTCTCGAACTTCGGGTGCGCGACAGCCAAAGACGGCCCATAGCCTTCCAAGGTAGCTCCGAGACGGCCCGAGAAAACTCCAAGAGGGCCCCAAGACGGCCCCCAGGACTGTTCCACGAGGGCCCTCATACGGCCGAAGAGACCTCCGAGACGGCCCTGAAGCGCCTCTGGAAGGCCCAGAGAGCCCTACGAGGCGGCAGCCGAAGGCGTCAGACGGGCCAAGAGTGCTCCAGGATGGCCCAAGAGGCCCCCAGGAGCCCCTCAGGGGCCCCCTGGTGTTTCCCCTGAGGGTTTCCACAACGGCTGGGTGAACACACTATCCAATAGCTTGGCCAAACTTTGGTCCAACGCTTGGCCACGTAAGAGTTTCCAAAAGGCTGGGGTCGGCGGTGGTGCGCCGAAGGCGTTTTCGATCCGCCGCCCCCTTCTGCTTGCAAGCAATGCTTGGCGTGCCGAATCTTCGGGCTCCTTTGGGCCCTGCCAACAAGCTTCCAATCATCTCTGTCTCAACCTGCCGGCCATCCGGAATAATCGGCCTCCGTCGGCTTTCCCGCTCAAGGTGGCCCTGAGAGGATCTCCAGGACGGCCACGATGGCCCAAGATGCTCCCAAGATGCTTCCCGAGACGGCTCAAGATACTTTCAAGATGGCCCAAGACAGTTCAGACGGCACAAGATGAGCCCAAAACGGCCCAAGAGTCCTCCAACATGCCCTCAAGGATGGGGATGGCCCGAGCACGTCAAAACCATGGATTCTCATGAATTTCGAGTGCTTGCCTTCTCGGGCTTCCGGCAACCGAAAACGGCCCCAGGATCAAGACACCTCCAAGATTGATCCATGATGGATGGCCCCATGGGCCAAGAGGAAGCCATGAGACGGCCCAAGAGTCCCCCGAAGAGGCTCCCAAGAGGCTCCCAAGAGGCCCACGGAGGCCCTCCCTAAAGGCCCCCGGGAAGCCCCAAGGAGGCCCTAAGAGGGCCCAAACTTGTCTTCGTCCTCTTTTTCCTGTCTCTCCTCGTCCTCCTAGTCCTCCCCAAGTGTTTCCGCAACGGCTCGGAGAACACATTGTCCAACAGATTGGCCAGACTATGACCCAACGTTTGGCCACAGGCGTTTCCCAAAGGGCATGGGGCGACGGTGCGACGGTGATTCGCCGCAGGCGTCTTCGATAAAGGTCCTCCTCCTCGTCCTTCTCCACTTCCTGAACCTTCTTCCCGTTCTGCCTCCCAGCGGCTCTGCGAGAACGTGCGGGCCGGTCCACCGTAACCGAGCTCGTCAAGGGCGTCGTCGCTGTGGAAGCGTGGGCGTTTGGACAGGCTGGCCATGTCCTTCGCATGACGCAGGCGGCCGCAGAGATCGGACATGTGGCAGAGAGCACGACAGGGGATGGGGAGAAGAGAAACGGCCAGAAGTGCCACCACGTCCCGAAAGTTGCATCGCCCGTGCCAAGCCAAGGGCCAGGCTGGGAACTACCAGCCGAGATCAGGCGGGCTGCGACTCTCTCTCTTCGGACCCGGCCAGAAATCCAACTGCTCGTCGTGCCCCCGTGGGCCACAGCATCGGGCGAGGAGAAGCACGCCTCGAGATACCGGGCGGGGGGAAACATGGCCCTCTTTCCCTGGCCATCGCTCGGACGTCCATTCCCTGTGCCTTTTCGGGCTTCGTGCGTGGTTTTTTCGCCAAAAAGGATCAAGGATGCTCCTCGCCGAAGGAAAAATGCACACGTCCGAGCGATGCCAAGTTCCCCTAGCAGGCTTTGCCTGACGTGCTCTGTCCCGCTCGCGGAGAAAAAAAAAACCCAGCGGGTGCGGGGCCCTTCGTCGGCGGTGGGCCCCGGCCTCGCCCGGGGTGCTGCCAGAGCAGTGCCAAGCATCGCCAAGCTACGCCAGCCAATGCCACACAACGCGAAGCAGTGCCGACCAATGCCAAGCCATGCTTTACAGTGCTGTACTTTGCATTGCTCAGCACTGCTTTGAACTGCATTGGAAGAAAGAAGACCCCCAATAATGGTCGCCCCAGGTTCGTTTGTAGAGAAGCGTTCGGGATGAACGCCCCCACCGCCTTGCTGGGCACTCCCCAACGCCTGCATGCCAGTCCTTTGCACATGACAAGCTCGGGGGCTTACTCTACGGCACGCGCCCCCTGGAATGGCGGTGGAGGAGGAGGAGGAGGAGGAGGAGGAGGAGGAGGAGGAGGAGGAGGAGGAGGAGCAGGAGGAAGAGGAGGGGGAGGAGGGGGAGGAATATCGAGGACGAGGACGAGGACGAGGAGGAGGAGGGGGAGGCGGAGGGAGGAGGAGGAGGAGAGGAGGAGGAGGAGGAGGAGGAGGAGGAGGAGGAGGAGGAGGAGCAGCAGCAGGAGGAGGGGGGGGGGGGGCAAGCGGAGGAGGAGGAGGAGGAGGAAGAGGAGGAGGATGATGATGATGAGGGGGAGGAGGAGGAGGAGGAGGAGGAGGAGGAGGAGAGGAGGAGGAGGAGGAGGAGCAGGAGGAGGAGGAGAAGGCAAAGGCGGAGGCTGAGGAGGAGGGGGAGCAGGATGAGCAGGAGGAGGAGGAGGAGGAGGAGGAGGAGGAGAGGAGGAGCAGGAGGAGAGGAGGGGGAGGCGGAGGAGGAGGAGGAGGGGGACGAGCAGGAGCAGGAGCAGGAGCAGGAGGAGGAGGAGGACGAGGAGGAGGAGGAGAAGGAGGAGGGGGAGGAGGTGGGGAGGAGGAGCAGGAGGAGGGGGGGAGGAGGAGAAGGACGACGAGGACGAGGACGAGGAGGAGAAGGAGGAGGAGGAGGAGGAGGATAAGGAGGAAGAGGAGGAGGACGAGGAGGAGGAGGAGGAGGAGGAGGCGGAGGATTAGGAGGATGAGGAGGAAGACGAGCAGGAATCTGATGATGATGCTGATGATGCTGATGATGATGCTGATGCTGATGCTGATGCTGATGATGATGAGGAGAGGAAGAGGAGGAGGTGTGGATGCGGAGAAAGAGGATGAGGAGGATGCACAGGAGGAGGGCATGCTGATGACGATGATCATGATGATGCTGATGCTGCTGATGATGATGCTGATGCTGATGCTGCTGATGATGATGATGAGGATGATGATGATGGTGCTGCTGATGGCGATGATGATGCTGATGCTGTTGATGAGAAGGCGCGGGAGGAGAAAGCTGCTGATGCTGATGATGAGGCTGATGATGTGGATGATGGCGATGACGACGATGACGATGATGATGACTAGGATGATGACAATGATGATGATGTTGATGCTGATGATGCTGATGATGCTGACACTGCTGATTACGGTGATGATGCTGATGCCGATGTTGCTAATGATGGTGCTGATTCTGATTAGGATGATGCAGATGGTGCTGCTGATGATGATGAGGATGCGGAGGATGAGGAGGGGGAGGATAAGGGCGAGGGGGAAGATGAGGAGGAAGAATAATAGGAGGGGGAAGAGGAGGCGGAGGAAGAGGAAGAGGAGGAGGAGGAGGAGGAGGAGGAGGAAGAGGAGGAGGAGGAGGAGGAGGAGGAGGAGGAGGAGGAGGAGGTTTTTGCTGCGAGAACTTGCCTGGCAGATCCCTGCCACAGCCAGCCTTCATTGCCAGCGGTGGATGGGGGGCACACTGCGGAGGTGCCGCACCCCTCCCCGCACAGAGACTCTGCCCTAGCGAACGACTGGGGTCAGAGAACTCGCTCCCAGAAGGCGTCGCATTCCCAGGGCAGCAGGGACCGGGAAGCCTCCTCGAGAGCGAACTTCACATTGTAAGGATGCTGCGCGCGGGCCAGGAGCGAGAGGCGGTACGCTGCCGTCGGGTCAGCAGGAGCACTCCTGCAGGCCTCAATGAACTTGCACCCCCCCCTTGCTCGTGAAAGCCCCGCATCGGGTGAAGTACGTACAGTGGCCCGCGCGATGGAGCTCGTGCCCCAAGGCCTCGCCGCGAAATGCGGCAGGAATCAGCCCTTTCCCCCCCCCCTCAGGAACGACCCAACGACGGTCGACACGAAGCCTCCCCCCACACAGTCGGAGAGAGAGGGCGCGCTTCGCCCTAAGGGAGCGGGCGTACCTGCGACACACCTTGCATCGCCAGGCACCATGGGCACGAACGAGGGAGTGAGGCGTGGAGCCAGGTGGGGGTCGAGAGCGACGGGGTCGAGCAAACACGCTGGCGGGCCTCCCAATGGAAGCACGAAGCTCCCCCGCCCGCGTCGCCATCGCCGCCACCAGACTCAGCACCCCTTGGACCTCGGCCGACCTCGAGGTCCAACTGGCACTTTTCCACTGTGGGACCGCCTGAAGATCAGCTCCTGCCTTGCCTCGGCGTCGGCTAACTGGTGCCCCTGAAAATCGAGGTGGGCGTCCAGGGTTCCGTCGGCGGGGCATCTGGAGTAGGCCCTGACCTTTTCAAATGAAAAGTCACCGTGGCCGCGAAACTTTCCCCGAGGAGGAACCAGACCAGATACCATAAGTCAGCATGCGGTCGAGACGGGCGGCAACACCACTTCTGGCCGCGGCGCAGGCCTCGAATGACAGGGGTTGTCTATCCCCACTCGAAGAGGAAGGGAGGTGGCCTCCAATACCCTCACGATGCCGAACATCTCCGCACGCAGAACTGTGCACAAAACTCTGGGACCAGGGAGGGAGCCGTGCATGGCTCGGACGACCGAGCGTTCGTCATCGAGAAAGACGTATCCCCACCCAAAGCTCTTTAGCCCTGGTGGCCCTCTGCCCGAGCCGTCGCTGTACGCCCTACCTTTGCACAAGGGAGGGTCGACATACGGAGGAGGAGGAGGAGGAGGGGGAGGAGGAGGAGGAGGAGGAGGAGGAGGAGGAGGAGGAGGAGGAGAGGGAGGAAGATGAATGAGGAGGAGGAGGAGGAGGGAGGAGGAGGAGGAGGAGGAGGAGGAGGAGGAGGAGGAGGGGGAGGAGGTAGGAGGGAGGGGGAGGATGATGAGGAGGATGCGGGGGAGGAGGGGGAGGGGGAGGGTGTGCGGATGGGAGGGAGGAGGACGGGGGGGGGAGGAGGAGGAGGAGGATGAGGAGGAGGAGGAGGAGGCGGAGGAGGAGGATGACGATGACGATGACGATGACGATGACGATGATGATGCTGATGATGATGCTGCTGCTGATGATGATGCTGATGCTGACGATGATGATGATGCTACTGATGATGCTACTGATGATGATGATGCTGATGATTATGATGATGCTGGTGGTGGTGATGATACTGATGAGGATGATGCTGATGATGATGATGATGATGATGATGATGATGATGATGATGATGATGATGATGATGGCGGTGGTGGTGATGATGATGATGCGGATGAAGATGAGGATGAGGATGATGATGCTGATGATGCTGATTCTGATGCTGATGATGATGATGATGATGAGGAGGAGGAGGAGGATGAGGAGGAGGAGGAGGAAGAGGAGGAGGAGGAGGAGGAGGAGGCGGATACTGAGGAGGAGGAGGAGGAGGAGGAGGAGGAGGACGAGGAGGAGGACGAGGAGGAGGAGGAGGACGAGGAGCAGGAGGAGCGACCGCTCCCAGTGCGCGGGTTCTCCCAATCACACATGGCGCCGCGGTCGCGGCGGGCCCCGTCACTGAGCGCCTCGTGGGAGGGCGCCTGCGGGTCGTTGAGGTCGACGCGGTAGCCGCCTTCGAAGTCGTCAAACCTTGCAGTAGCGGGTAGCGGGCTGCGGGCCCGCCACAGGGTCGCGCTCTCCCTCGGCGACGGGGGGGCGGAAGTCGTTGTCGTCAACCTCATCCACGTTCAGGACGACGGGTGCCACAAGGGCATCATCGCCGTCAGCATCTGGAGGTTGCGCCACTCCGTCGTAGTCGGGGAAAGCGACGTTGCCGCTCTGGTCGACGTCGGTCTCGCTCTGGGTGCCGTGCTGGTCAGTCTCCGAGTCGGGCTCGGCGAGTAGGGGCTGAATCACCAGCTCCTCGCCCTCAGGGGATGGATCAAAACCACCCTGTCCCCCTTCGCCGTAGCCGTCGCCGGTTTTCGGGAAGAAGGTGTGGCAGGCATGCAGCGATTGTGTCGCACGTTGCCAGAGCCATCTGGAGTATCGTCGGTCATCGGGCCCAGGAGGAGGACGATGGTGTGCGCCCAGAATGACCTGGGGGAAGGGCTCCTTCTTGTGTGGAATCCTGCCTGCAAGAGGAAGCTCTTACACTGGTGGAAGCCCTACATGTCCTGGCGCAGCATGTCCTTGAGAGGACGCGGGGAAGGTCCCCACCCCCGTCGCGCTTCCAAGCGACGTAAGGACAAGAGGCCGCTCACCATCAGTAACAGGAAGCGCATGAGCAGGAAGTCGCACTCCAGCGTCATCAGGAGGTGGCCCAACATCAGTCGGCGAGTGTCC